CCGATTAGGTATTGAATTCACACATGCTGAATGAATGAATTAATGCCATTATGGACCAGTGAGGCCATCTTCAGGTTTTTCTCAGAGTTATAGCCCTCACCACCTCCCCTCTCCCAGAAGAAAATCAAAGATATGTTGGCAGTGTGTTTCCATCACCATCTATACTTTTCAGAGGTTTCTCCAAAGAAGATAAAATAGGGAGTAAAAAGCAACGATTCACCTCGAAGAAATCAAGAAGTAATTGTTGATCAGTACATTTTGGGGGAAAAAATAAGCTCTGGATTATGAATTATCCAGAGTTTCTGAAAATGAGGTTGTCATTAAAGTTATTATACTTTGTCTGCCCTTTGGTGGAAGGAGGAGAAAAGGAGAAAGGAAGTGAAAACGAGAAGAGGAGAGAGGAAAAGGAAGAAAGAGAGCATGTAAGCCAGCCCTTCACTGCGTTATCACACATGACCTTGAAGATGGACTCTCTGTGCCACCACCATGGTGAGAACCCTCGGGTAATCTTTACGGATGTGCCTGTAATCTGCCCGGGGAAATGAACACTGTGGGGCACTTGCCACATCCTCTTCCTTCCACTTTAATGGGAACAGTATTTTTAGATGGGGAGACAGCTTCAATTACAAAACTGACAACTAAAATTTTACTTCAATGTTTTTCCCTCTCTAAGAAGCTTCCCGCCCTTTATAGATTTCTCTTTTTATACCACATCTGTGGAAAGAGAATAGATGTCTTCAGTGTTGTGCCAAATAAGTGTATTCTTACATGAAATAAAATAAAAATACTTGCAAAAGACTTTCTGTATGGGTCTATAGCTCTCTCTCGCTCCATATACATAAAATCAAGCTCAAAGTGGTTTTCCAGAAAGNAGGGCAAGAGCAGTTCAGAGCTCCAGGCCTAAAATCGGGCCCCTGGGTTTAGAAACCCAAGGTCTGCCATCCCCAACTGGGTGTGCAAGCCACTGAACCTCCCTGCAGGGGCTAAGAATAGTATCTGTGCCGTAGAGCTGTGTTCACAGGAATTAACGCATGTCAAACTCTGAGCACAACTTTGGGCATTGTGACGTGGTAGTGGCTGATATTAAGTCGTTTAACGAAAAAACCCTTGCCTATGACCAATGCCCACGGACGCAGGCCTGTGTGCTGGCATGGGCGGGTGTAGGCTGTGGGGCTGTGGGTTGCCGAGTATAGTTGGGGACTAAATTTGAGTGTGGCAGTGACTCGAGGAGCAGACACTGCAGCATCTGCTGGCACACGTTCACTAAGTTCTTAACAAGCCCAATGTGAGAGCCACCCTCCCGCCCACTGAGAGGTGGGGGCACGTGGGTGGAGAAGCTGCATGGGTTAAAAAACCTATGTCACCTGATCTAGGAGAAGTACGCTGAGCTCATAAACCCGTGGGAAGCAGGGGTTCTGTGCTTTCTTCCTCTGCTCCCTCAATTACTGATTTTACGTATTATTTATTCCAATTAGAATACTGATACTTGTTCGTTGTGGGCATCTGATACGTATAGAAGGGTACCTGCTATGTAGGAGGAGTAAATCTACAGACCGAACAAACAGGGACATTTTGTGGTCACATTGTTGCTTTTCTTTTTCTGTTCATATTTTTTTCAGTGCTAAGCTAAAACTGTATAATCAACACTGTATCTTGCCTTATTACTAAATGTTTTCTCCATTAATGACTCTTCATGAATGTTATTAATAGATACACACTACTGCATAAAATGGTGCAATATTCTTTCACTGTTTCGCTGGAGTTGAATTCCTTTCCAATTCTTGTAAACAACACCCTGATGAACATCTTCATGCTGAACCTTCATCGGATTTCTGGCTAATTTCTTTAGGAATAATTTCTAAAAGGGAAAATCCTAGGGAACATTTATTTCCCCATCTTTTTAACCTACAGTGCTTTGCCCAGAGAAGAAGCTTAAGAATTTACTGTTTTTCAAAACTCAAGCTGAATGGGGCTAATATTAACAATTCTTGGTTCCCATGGAAGAAAGTCTTGGTCTTTCAGAGGCTCTGACCTGGAGGAGCTGTCCAGGAAGGCTACAGAGCTTTCATCATGGAAGAGCGAGACGAAGGGCGACGGAGCCTCCAAGCTCTCAGCTCTACGAGCTCTCTGGGGAATGAGTTGGAGACATCCGCTCCTTGATATACCGAAAACATTTTCATCTATAAACAAGTGATCTTAAAACTTTAAGTGTCCTAGAACTCAGGTTTTTAGAGAGGAAATGGACCCCTCAATGTTCGGCATGTCTCTATGTGTCAGGAAGGCTTACACTTCTCTCAAAGGTCACGAGCCCATTCACACACTGACACCAGGACACCTATTTTAGCTGCTGTGTCTGGCCCTCTCTGGCTCCGGGCATATTTGGAGATCAAAATGGTCCTGGATGTTACAAGTGTAAATATACTCCTGCTTTAAGCAACCTTTAAGTACAGGGTAAATTTTATGATTGTAAAATTCTAACAGGGTTTAGGAATGAGAATGTTTCTGATTTTCTATTTCTTTTGAACATTCCTACGCTCTGTAGGAACCTACTGATACAGTATCAAACATCAGGATGATTCATTGATTTACATAGAATTAATTTTACTACAGCAAAGCTCATCTCTAGTACAGTATGAATGTATGTGATAGGAACAAAAAAATCACCATCATACGTGTGAAGCTGTCTCATATTCGTGTGATGGGGTTCTTGAGAAGAATGCAACCTGCCCTAACACCATCACTGTTTTAAAGCACTCAACCGACAAGTTGCTTTCCTGGTTCTCATAGAGGGAAATGGGGTTCAGAGATGCTGGGTGGCTTGCTCAACGTTCCATGGGGTATAAGGGACAAGCCAAGAACAGCCTAAGCTCTTACTAGCACATTCTGTCCACCCCGCGTGAAGTGGCCAGTGTCCTTGTCCTTACCGGTGGGTTTGACGAGGACCGCCAAGAAGTCGGTGCTGAGGGAGCTGACGTAGAGAAGGATGCAGGGCGCCTTGGTGGTGCTGAAGCTGAACTGGATCTCCTCCCGGGCCAGGTCTGCAGGGGAGCCCTGCTGCTCGAGGGGGTTCTCCCGTCTGCTGCCCGATTCTTTGCCGCTGGTCCCGGCTGCCTGGAAGTTATACCGTAGCCACATGCCCTCTTCAAAAAAAGCACCAACATCTGTTGAAGAGAAAGACACACAAAAAAGAGAAAATTGAATAATGAGGAGAAGTCTGATGCTGATACCACCGCCAACTTGAACTTGGGTAGACTGTTAGTTTTGGAGTGGCCTCGGAGGCAGCTCGCAGAGGACAGACTCTGGGTCCAGGAAGGGGATCAGACTAGGTAAACGTCTGGGCAGGTGGACGTTGTTTCATCAACACGAATATGTTATATATATATAAAAAAAAGCAGCACGTAACAATGTGGCCACCTGTAAACTTACAGTGTAATAGTAAAATTATGAAAAATAAATCATACCAGGAAAAAAGCTTCAGACCAAATAACTAATTTAGGTTGAAGAGATACGCTGAAATACAGTGTTATAACATGAACCACCAACTCTAGGAGCTCCTGGGTGTCCTCTTTGAGACGGTTTTGCTTGGGACATTTATACTGGGGAGTTCTCGACAAAGCCCCAAGTCCTGGGAGGGTTGCATATAGTGTTCAAAATCATGAGACATGAAGCTAGATAGAACTGCCTTCAAATTTGGCGCTGCCATTCATTTGTCACGTGGTCTTAGGGGAAGTTACTTAACCAACTTCTTAGGCCTCAGTATTCTATCTGAGCAAGGGAGATAATAATAGCGAAAATTACGGAATATAATTTAAAGTACTTAGCACATAATAAGTAGTATCTACTATTATTATGAAATTAGACGAAAGGTCTCTCACTCTTCATCAGGCTTTTCCTGTAGCCTAATTGGTTTTTAATCATTTCCTTCCAGACAAATTCCTGCTCCAGTGTTGCCCACTGTTTGTTCCCGAATATTCTAAAATCACCCCCTTCTCACTATGAAAGGCTGAGATTTGTTTGGTCTTCACAGTTCCTATAATGTTTCATTGCCCTATGCATGTGCCCTTCTGAAAGCATTTCTCAAACTTCTTTGCCCGCGGAACCCATTATTCTCATCCCACTAGATTAACACTACGCAGGATGTATTTGGTGAGCCACAGCTTTACATTGTAGTTAACAGGAGGGACGCATTTTAAAAGCGTTCTTTCATCTGGGAACTTGAAAGTTTGCTCTCCTTGAAGAGCCCCAGCACAGAGTCACCACAGTACAGCGGCCCAGAGTCGGGGTTCAGGCTCCTGCGGGGAACCTTGGCCTTGACACTAACTTGGGCCAATGGCTTGAAACTCTCTCAGCCTCAGTTTCCTTCTGTGAAAAGTGGGGCCTCACAGGTTGTTGGGAGGAGTACATAATCCATGTAGAACATGTAGCCTAGTGCCCGGGGTACATGATAAGCAGTTGATAAAGATCAATTAGTCATGTTACAAACACAGGCCACCGTGTTCTGCTGCGGGCCACAGAGGCTACCACACACAGGCAATACTCCAGGAAGACACCCTGGCACTGCCTTCCACGGTCTGCTTCTCACTGGGATGGTGACAGGAGTTCATCAGCTACGATCCCAGTTATGGGCAGTAGTAATGTCCTCCTGACCCTCCTCGAACAAGGACTTTGTGTGTGTGTGTGTGTGTGTGTGTGTGTGTGTGTGTGTGCGCGCGCATATCAGTGTGTATGGGAGGGTGTTGTCCAGATGACAGGGGGTACTACTGGCATTTAGTGGGCTCAATGTCCTGCCATGTGTGGGGCTGTCTTATATTATAAAATTAAGAATTGTCTTGCTCAAAAATGGCCAGTGTCCTTGTTGGGAAACACAGGATTAAACAATTAACCAATGCCAGTCACACGACATACTGGGATGTAAAGGTGCATAAAGTGTGTCAGGGCCCTTCAGAAGCTTTCTGCGCAGCAGTGGGCGTGGAGGAGACACCTCCACAACCTGGATACGTGGTGAGTGTGTTAGGAGTGTGTGGCGAGTGTTAACGCGGTTTTCTTGGCAGGCTATGTGCTAAGACCCCCGTCCCGCTGCCTGAAGACCCCAAGCTGGCCGTTCCACTGGCTGCATTTGCCAGGCACGATGCTGGGAGTGGAGGTTACAATCTGCGCTCTCACGGAGCTCTGGATCTAGAGGAGGAGTGAGACTGACAGATACTGTTACAAGGCAGTGTGGTCAGTAAGGATCAGGTGAATACAGGTGGGAACCTGGAGGCTTCCTGGACAAACAGACCTGGGAGCCGGGACCAGCAGAGGCAGTGGCGGGCTGCTATGTACAGATGGAGAGGAAGCAGAGCAGCCTTCTAGCTGGGGGGCAGCATGCAGAAACACTTCCGCGTGTGTGACAGGCTCCCCAGCTGATGTCTGAGATCCTGGGAGGCAAGGCTGAGGCA